GTGCCCGGCCCACTTGTTTTTAATTTATCATTTGTTTGGGTTTCTTCTCCTCAGGCTCTGGCTCTACTTCTACCACAAGCTTCAGCATGGCAGTACCTCTCACCACTTTTTCTGGTCAGAGGGCGGAAATGAGTGTCCTGGAAACCAATCGGTACTTGCGCTCCCAGCTGGAAGAAAGCAAACAGAAATTCCGAGATCTCACAGAGAAGTACCTCACATCTACAGCTACAGCTTACTGCCTGGCCAACCACCTGCAGAAATACAGTAAGTCCTCCAGGGTCATGGTCACTAAAGTGATCAACAATCATCCATCTTTCCTCTGAGAAATGGAACACTCTCCAGACTTTAGTCTTCTCTCTTCTTCATCAAAATTAATTTTATCCTGACTATACTCTCCAAAAAGTAGAAGCGGTTATTTCACTCTTAATTTGCAGAGGATGAAAAACTGAGGCACAAAGGAGTAAAGTTTGCAGGGAGAGTGCAGAGAGGAATAGAGACTAAAATCTTGGTTCAGGCACTAAACTCTTTTCTCTCTCAGGAACATGTGTCAGCTTCTATAAGCATATAACATCACTGTTGGCTCAAATATCTCAGAATTCAACTCAGACTTTTACTCAGCGCCCATTTGCAAAACACTGTGCAGATAGCACCAAGAGAGAAAGAAGTAATAGTACATCCTGTAACACAGGGAATGACCTGGGGAGAAAAAAATGGCAAAAATACTTTCTGTCTCTTTAAAACTTCCCCCACTCTTTTGGAGAACTGCAGCCTGCTGGTCAGGAGGGGCAGGGGAATCACCCCAGGCCCTGGTGCCAGCCTCTCAGGTGGGCAGCTGGCAGAGGTCACAGGCTTTGTCTTTGGCAGAGATGGGACAATTAGAATAGTTAACCACCATAGCCTGGAACTGAGGGGCACTCCCTTTAAAAGCTCTGTATTTCTGCTAATGTGCAGGAAATTTGGATTTTGAGATAAGAAGGTCTACCATTTTTTTCCTCCTTTGCAGGTGAAGTAATAAACTTCTTTCCTTCTCCTCAAACCACTTGTTCTTGTTCCTCTGATGTGGCCTCAAGGACAAATGCCAAGCTTTCAGTAACAATTCTGCTGTGAACTATAATAAAATCTTAAGCTCCAACCCCCCACACACCCAGCTGACTGAATGGACTCCCCTTGGCTAAGGGGATACCCTAAAACTGAGTTACTGGCCATGAGAAGGGAGGTCAGGCATGCCTCATCATACCTCCCTCCCTTCTTATAGATAACCTTTGTAACTTATGAACAGGCCTAAGACTATGCAAGACAAACCTACAGGTCCTCAATTTACATAACAAATCATTTGAGTCTGGGTATATGTGGCCAGCAGCTTGTATCTGATTAACAGACTTCCTTATCTTAACTTAAAACATTCTAAGCCTTTAGACAAGCTTCCCTTCTTTAACCAATTATAAATCAAAGAATCTTTAAACCCACTTATAACCTGTAAGCCACCCCTGCCTTTGAAATGTCCCTCCTTCTTGGGCCAAACCAATGTACACCTTCCATGTATTCATTTACGACTTTACATGTAATCCCTGTCTCCCTGATATGTATAAAGCCAAAATGTAACACAAGCACAGAGAGTTCACTTGCTCAAGGTTTCTTGGGCATGATTCCAGGCCATGGTCCTCAAATTTAGCTCAGAATAAACATATTTAGCTTATTTTACAGAATTTTAAATTATTTTACAAAATTATTAAACATTTTTAAATGTTTATTTTAAATAAACATATTTCAATTATTTTAATTTATTTAATTATTTTTATATAATTAAATAAATGTTTTATTTTATTGGCTTCTTTCTGTTGACACTACCAGCCTTAAAGAGCTTAAATCTATCTGTTCCCAAAGAAGTCACAGATATCTGGAGACAGGAATTTCAATAGCAGACACAAAGGGAAGCCTTGATACCTAGAGCAAGATTGTTTTCCCACAGAAGTTCAAAGAACCCATTCCTCACATTCTGGTTAGCTTGAGGGTGTTTCCAGTAAAACTGAAGCCACTATAACACCCTTTCTGTCTCTTCCTGAATATAAACTTTGCAGATAGCAAGCAATTCCATGTGGACCTCTAGGATCTGGGTTATGAGACATACGGCCAAAATGAGAACAAGGCCAACTGGAGGATTCTCCCAGTCTCAGTAGCAGGCTAAGCCAGTATGGGGGCTGGCCCTTCCCTCTCCACAGTCAGCTTCCACATTTGGAAATTCACTGGAAAATCCTAAACCTGTTAAAAATTGGTGGGGAGAAGGAAGATGTAATGACTGAAGGAAACATGGGAACAAGGGCACAAGAACAACAATATTAGAGGAAGATTCTTGCTAACATTGAAGTTGAGTTTGCTTTCCAATTTCCACAATTATTTTTCAATAAATCAATGGGGAGGCACAATTTGCTATCCAACTTACTCTCATAGACAGAAAAGTAAAAATAAAAGCCTACTTGTTAAAGAAATAAAAACAAGGGTGTGGAAAACTTAAGGGTTTTTAAACATTCATTATAATCATAATATAATT